AATGATAGATAAACTGGTACATCCAATGGAATGTTATTCACTACTAAAAAGAAATGAGCTATCATGCCATGAAATGATGTAAAGTAACCTTAAATATATGCCAAACGAAAATCCCAAACTGAAAAAGCCATATAATGTATGATTCCAACTACATGACATTCTGAAAAAAGCAAAACTGTAGAGAGTAAAAAGTGGTTGCCATGTATTAGAAGAAAGGAAGGAGGGATGAATAGGTAGAAAACAGTAATTCTAGGGCCTCCTGGGTGGCGCAAGGGTTAAGACGCAACCTCTGAAGCTATCCGCAGCCACTGCAGAACAAGTTCGATTCCTGGCCAGCCAGGGAGCAATCCACATGGCGCAGGAGACCTAGCCTGACTTGCCTGCTATTCCCCTCAGCAATGTACTTCGGTCAATCTGCCTGTTCTGTTCCCCACTCTGTCTCTGGTGAATCCTCTCATCCCCCCACACCTCTGGCCTGTACCCCAGCTCTTGCATGCATAAATAAATCTTTAAAAAAAAAAAAAAAGCAGGGGCCTCCCCAGTGGCGCAGCGGTTGAGCGCTGGGTTGCGAAGCTGCCCGCAGCCTCTGTGGTGCCAGTTCGATCCCCGGCTGCTCCCCGGCCACCGGAGGAGGGTCCCACATGGCGCACAGACCTCTCCTGCCGCCCGCTGCTCCCCTCAGCAGTGTACTTCGGTCCTTCTGCCTGCTCTGCTCCCCGCTCTGGCTCTGGAGAATTCTCTCACCCTCCCGCGCTTCTGACTGTACCCAGTGCTTGTATAAATAAATAAATCTTTAAAAAAAAAAAAAAAAGCAGTAATTCTAGGACAATAAAATTACTGTTAGGCTATTAAAATGGTGTATACATCCATTTGTTAAGACTCATTCTATGTATTATCGCATTTTCTAATATACAACACAAAGAGTGAGTCCCAATGTAAACTATGAACTTTTAAGTAGTAGTAACTTACCAAAAAGGTCTCACCATTATAACAAATGTACCATAATAATGCAAGATGATATAATAGTGAAAACTGTGTATGTAGAACTAGGGGCTTTAAAGGAAATCACTGTACTTTTTGTTCAACTTCTCTGTAAACCTAAAGTCTTTGGGGACCTCCCTGATGGCTGAGGGGTTGAGTCTCAGAGCTATAACGGCACCAGCCTACCACAGCAGTCTGAGTTCCATTCCCAACCAGGGTGCTGACCCACATGGCTCAGCAGACCTCTCTTGTCTCGCCAGCCGCTCCGCTCAGCAGTCTGTTTCAGTCAATCTCCTGTTCTGCTCCCCACTCTGTCTCTGGTGAATCCTCTTATTCCCCACACCTCTGGCCTACATCCCAGTTCTTCTATGCAAAAATAAATATTTAAAAAAAAAAACAAAAAACAAAAGTCGTTGAAAAAAAAAATCTTTTCCTTTAATGCATAAAATATTTCAACAGAATTTCTCCAAAGATTTACCAATGGCCAATAAGCACACAAAAAGATGCTTAACATCAGTAGCCATTAGGGAAATACAATCAAAACCTCATTGCCTTTCACAACTATTAGCATGGCTATAATCAATAAGAGGAACAATAACAGGAAAGAAAAATTGGATTCCAACGAGCATTGCTGGTGGAAACATGAAACAATACAGGTGCCAAAGAAAACTGTTTGATAGTTCATTAAAAAGCTCAACAGAGTTACCATATGACCCAACAATTCCATTCCTAGGTATATACAAGAAAGGAAAACATAGTCACAAAAAATTTGTATGTGAGTGGTCACAACAGGCTATTCAACAGCTGTTGAAAGATAAAATTCAAATTTAGGGATCCAATTGATTTAATAAATGAATCATGAATTAAGCAGCATCCCATCAAGATACTGAAAGGGATTACATAAAACAGAAATGGGAATGGAAAGACACTGCTAAAGGTAAACATCCAAATGGGGGTCAGCCTAATTTTTCAAGAGCTCAGTAATACTTCTTGATAGATAACTAAAAAACTTCCCCATGCCAAAAACCAGAGTTTTCCCCAAAAACCAATGAACTGAGAGCCTACAAAGGTCTGCATTAACAAAATCTAGTGAACCTAAAAATATATCTAGCTACAGTCCCTGGGCCAGATGCTAGCATTAGTTCTTAAAATTCTGCCTTCTGCATATGCTGCCCCACCTCCACTGAGTGCTAGATTTCTGAGTGCCAGTCTCCATGTTTGAGACATAATTTAACTATCAATTACACATTCAATAACTTCACAGAGGCCAACAACATTTACATAGACATTTTGCTTTCCTTTTTAAAGAATAACATTCACAGAGAAAAACTGAAACCATATTGAAAAAAACCATATATAAAATAAAAAGCAAGTCTCCAGGACTCCCCAGCTCCCATTCCCAGATGTAATCCTGGTTGGTAAGTTTATTGTATAAATGACTTTTTATTTCTGAAATGCTTATTAATGTGACAGGATTATTATACAAAGTATGTTTCCTCTAAAGGCTAAGTCTTCCAGAGTCTGCATGGCTTAATCAGAAACTGAGACTAAATTCAGGTCCCAAATATAGAAACTTAAAATTTCCTTGAAGTCCAATACAGGAATGTAGACCCTAACAGATAACTTTTTTTAAAAAAAAAATCACATATTTTAGGACCTCCCTGGTGGCACAAGGGGTTAAGCACCGCACAATGAAGCAATCCACAGCCTCTTTGGCCAGGGAGAAACCCACATGGCGAGGTAAACTTCTCCCGTCTCGCCCGCTGCTCCCTTCAGCAGTGTATTTCAGTCAGTCTGCCTGTTCTGTTCCCCACTCTATCTCTGGTGGATCCTCTCACCGCCCCCATCTCTGGCCTGTACCCCAGCTCTTGTAAGCATAAATAATTCTTTTTTTTTTTTTTTAGAGGCATGTTTTATTTATTTATTTGTTTGTTTGTTTGTTTATACATGCACTGGGTACAGTCAGAAGCGTGGGAGGGTGAGAGAATTCACCAGAGCCAGAGCGGGAAGCAGAGCAGGCAGAAGGACCGAAGTACACTGCTGAGGGGAGCAGCGGGTGGCAGGAGAGGTCTGCGCGCCATGGGGGACCCTCCTCCGGTGGTCGGGGAGCAGCCGGGGATCGAACCGGCGCCGCAGAGGCCGCGGGCAGCTTCACAACCCAGCGCTCAACTGCTGCGCCGCCGGGGAGGCCCAAGCATAAATAATTCTTAAAAAAAAAGAAATCACACATTTTAACCTTTAGTCAGATTTCAGTTTCTTTCTAATCCATAGTAAAACAAACTCTGCAAAAAATTACAAAAATATCACAAGGTGGCAGTCAGCTGGAAACAATGCATGAACTAGATTAGCCTAAATCTAACAAGAAAACATATCTAACATACTCAAGGCATTAAAAGGAAACAATAATGAGAAAGGCATATTCATGCCCTGACAAATACATCAAGAGCTCCTGGTAAAATTCCCAAGACCCAAGAGAAACTTAAAATAAATCTCCTGTTAACTTCAATGTTTCCTGTGAACAGATCTCATTTGATCCTTAGATAAAAAGAGTAAGACTGACATAATTGCAATTGGTAGGGGTGGGGGATAGGGAGGCTGAAATAACTTAGGGGGCAAAGAGTAACCCAATTAACAGCAGCATTGAAAATATGTAACTTTGCAACAAGTGAACATCAAATCTGGAATAAAAATGTCTATGGGCATTTTCTTCCCCAAATAGGGGACAGAGTGAGTATGGAAAATTATATATAGATTTTTAGCAATTTTCCCAGGGGCTAAGGTATGTCTGATGCTACTAAAATCTCCAAAACCTGACTATTAATAAACTCTTTATATAGTAATTAATCCTAATTTTTTTTTTTTTAGAGAAAGTACATTGAACTTTATTTATTTATTTATTTTTTTTTAAAATAATTTTATTTTATTTAATATTTATTTATTTATTGAAGCACCGGGTACAGTCAGAAGCGCGGGAGGGTGAGAGAATTCACCAGAGCCAGAACGGGGAGCAGAGCAGGCAGAAGGACCGAAGGACACTGCTGAGGGGAGCAGCGGGCGGCAGGAGAGGTCTGCGCGCCATGTGGGACCCTCCTCCGGTGGCTGGGGAGCAGCCGGGGATCGAACCGGCGCTGCAGAGGCTGCGGGCAGCTTCGCAACCCAGCGCTCAACCGCTGCGCCACCGGGGAGGCCCTAATCCTAATATTTTAAATTCAAAACCTGATACAACCTTGCAAGAGCCAACAAATTAAAATTCTTATTAATCAACCTCTAGTTCTCACATATTATGTCCATGAAGTGTTACGTAATTGTGCATTAATTTTTAAAGGTGCAAAAAATTTGCCCATTATGCAAATTCAGTTCATGTAGCCTCAAAAGGCGGCATCTACCCAGGGCTCCTGTCTCAGGGCAGGACACTGAGGGTGATCAGAAAGGCAGTCTTCATTATTTTTGCTGCCGCTGTCATTCTGTCTGGCTTGCCTCTTTTCAATTAGAATGAGCTGGTTCCCTAACATTTAGGACTAAACAGTGAGCAGATAAACAATGCCCGTGCCAGCAGAGAAAGGGGCCGAGAACCTGAAGGGTTGGCCAGACCTGTTCTTATCTCTGCTGCTCTCGAGGAAAAGATTCCTCTAAGGTGAGCCAAGTTCAGTGGCTTCTTTTAACCTAGAGCAACTATTTCCGCTCTGGGAGTTTTTAGTCATCTAACCAGATCCTCATAACTCAGCTCTCATCCCAACAGTGCTCTGAACCCCTGCCTAGGAAGCGCCTAGGGAAGCAGATGAAACTAATTAGAACACAGCCCTTCAAAGCAACACAAGTATTTTAGCAGCTGTGTACAGGGACCTTCCCACTACTGTGGCAGAGGCTGCAGAAGAAGTATTTCCACCACAATCATTGTCATCCTTGACTTTGTCCTCATTTCTTCAGTTCTCTGCCCCAACAACTGCAGTATTCTTTAGCATGGTTCTTCTCCTGGAGGCAAGAGCATTTCTTTTCAGCTGACTTTGGAAAAAGGCTTATTTTTGTGATTTACCCAACCATGAAACCAGGTCTGTTTGGATACGGGGTAGAACCAAATAAACAATCCTCTTTGTCCTGCGAATGGCTGCTGGGTGTTTCGACTTCACGAGGTGCTGGGGCCAGCTGTGCTCTTTTATGCTGGATCTTCTTCATCCATTGTCACATCACTGTTGGTATTTTTCTTCTGCTCAGCCTCTGGTCCTGCAGGCAGAATGCTTGTGACAGTGTGGAGGAGAGCTTCAATCTGCTCCTCTGTGAGCCGCTCTTCACTCTCTTCCACCATCTGCAGAAGGGAAGAAAACTCTCCAGCGGTTACAAATAAGCCTCACAGGCCAGGTCCACACTGCACTATCCTGCTCATGTTATTCACCGTCTCAACCCACCCTCTTGGAACACAGAGCTCAAGGTTTGACTCCAGAGCCACTTCAGACCTCTAGGTCCTCTCACCTTGCTCCATGGAAGGGAAAAGTCAGTTCAAATTCTGGGTTAAGTCAAAGTCAATGTGACGGCTCAAAATGAGTCTGACAAGAGCTACATGTTAGCATTTTTCTTTAAGGACAAAGAAAACCGTAATAGTTCCATACCCATCCATATAAACACAGAAATATGTTGTATATGCAAAGAAAGTTCATCTGATGTCTGCCCACTGTGTGCCAAGTAGTTTATAGATTTTCTCTAATCCTCACTATTATCACTACTAACAACACCTGGCACTACACCTTGCACTTCATTTCTTTTAACCCTTACAACAATCCTGGCAAGCAGGCAGAACTGGAATCTCAAGTCAAACCTGCCTAATTTAACTTACAATCAGCATACAGCACATGGCCTTGGTCATCTCCTGGGAGTGAAGAAAAGGAGCCTAATAATGAATGACAGTTGGGAAACATTCCCACCTGCTCTCAACAAAGGTTGACTTGAAGAGTGGTTTCTGACATAGTTCTGGAAATCTAAACATACAGATGTTAACTGCATATTATAAGACAGTCTTCTTAGACTAAGCTTTAGCCTCATCTTAATTTTCAATACAGAATGAATATAAATATAATATAATCAGCCACCTTTCAAAAAAGCAGTGCATGAACAGTCATGTTACCTAACCATGTTCACTGGGTATTAACTATCTATCACAAACACCTTCCTAAGCAAAAGGTGCCCAGGGGCTTAGTCTGTGGCATTTCCCACAGCAATATCTGACATCTGGAACCTAAAATCAAAAGGAGCTCCAGAAAGAAATTCTGGCAGGCTTTAAACCAAGATGAAAGTCTACACTTGCAATCCTGGAAAGGAACTCCGTCTCAATGCCTCATTTTACACATCACAGTACAGAAACCAAAGAAGTCAGTGACACATCCAAGATCATACTACAAACTCCTGGCAAATCATTCATCAGTGCAAAAATGTTTCCACAAGAGAGAATCCTGGATGTTCAAAATCATGAATCAATGGAGGTACTCCCAATCATGTGCAATAAAATGACCATTTTCTAAAGATTCAAATGCTCAGTAAAAATGTAACTTTTCTACCAAATAAGAAACAATCCCCCCAAACCCATTTTCAAATCAAGTATCATACGGTATGTAAAAGGAAGTAATCTAACAAAGACTGCATCCAAAGAATGAAGGGGAAGGAAGAAGGATTTGGTAATTTAACCCCGAGAAAAGCTGAACTCTACTTGAGAAAATAGAGTATCCCAAGTCTATGAATAATCAGTATTATAGTGGATAATGGATCCACTATGTAGTCAATGATAACCTATTTACTGACTCAGAGGAAGAGGCTGAAGATGTGACAACCTCCCACCAGTATGTGTGCACTACTGCTACATAGTTTATGAGGGGCTTAGCTGCCACCAGAGCGTCTCAAGAATGCCATAAAGTCTGGAGAGCTTATAGATGAGAAAGAAGAAACTCAGCTGTTTTAAGGAAAACTTGGTCTGTATCTCATCCAAGATTTCCAGTCACAGGAAGAAAACAAAACCTAAGATGCATTAAGCAGAATGGATTATATACCAAAAACCTTTTAGAAACCAAAAACTTACTAACTCCTTTCTGATCATGAGAGTAAATGAAATGATTATTCTTCACCTTTTTTACCAACAGAAGAAACGGATTCCAAATAAAATACAAAGCACCATTTTGACATTCTCAGAAACCCAAGGGTTCAACTTATTCAGAATATACAGGCAAATGAAATTTTAATATCTGGGCCTTCCCTGGTGGCGCAGGTGGTTGAGCGCAGTGCTGTGAAGCTGTCTGCAGCCTCTGCAGTGCGGGTTCAATCCCAGCCGACCAGCGAGAATCCCACATGGTACGGCAGACCTCTCCTGTCTCACCCGCTGCTCCCCTCAGCAGTGTATTTCAGTAGATCTGCCTGTTCTGTTCCCCACTCTGACTCTGGTGAATCCTCTCACCTCCCACACCTCTGGCCTACACCCCAGCCCTTGTATGCTTAAATAAATGAAATCTTAAAAAAAAAAAAAAAAATTAAAAATCCAAAGTATTTGTAGATGGTCAACATAAATGATAAATTTTTATCACATGTAAAATTATTACAGTTCTCAGTGGCTGTTGAATGAGGCTGCTGTACTCTAAAAATGGTTGGTTCTCATTCTAAGTTGCCCTAACTCAAGTTTTAGTAGCAATAGACATTCCAGCTATTTGTTCAGAACACTTCTGTTCACTTACCCTTCATACATTCCAAATTTTCTCTAATATAAAATTAGAGGAAACTCATGCTTATAGTAAGGACAAAATGAAAACATACATTATAGTGACTTTGTAAGCCCTAAAATTCCAAATTCTAGACTTTTTATTATCACTAAATTATAAAGGCAAAGATGGTGGTGCCTTTCAAGACAGTGGGCTGTGAGGGCATGGGGTTCACAAACTGTTCCAAATGAATATACAACAAAGTATGGCAGAAGTCACTGAAGCTGCGTGGCTGCTTCATTTCCTCACAGACCCTGACATACAGTAGGCAGTCACCTGTGGATCAAACCATGACTGAGGTACAACTGAAAATGAGAAGTTTCAGCTTCCTAAACTGAACACTAAAAAATGCTGAGATTACTTCTGAAACCAGGGAGAATAAATGCCTGCAAGGTTACTGACACAGGAAAATTCTCAAGTCCTTAGCACATTCTATTGTATGAAAAACCTCATTTCTTATCCCTCGCTGGAAAGAAGAGACTTCAAAGTTTGGAAAATGATTTGCTACTTTCGATAGCCAAATCCCAGTGTGGGAAAAATCTGGCTATAAAATGGTCCAACTGCTGGGAAAGGACATACTCAGTTTTTATTAATGTCAACAACCTATGCTGTGGAAAAGAAGAGTCTGAGGGAACGCCACACACATCCTTTTTCCTCACCATGTAAAAAGCACATGGCTTAGAGCAACAAAGACTTCTGGATCTAACAGATACAACGTGTCACTCACTAGCCAAGATTATGCTGAGAGGGCATTAAAGGACACATAAACACCACAAAGCCCCTGGCACATGTCTGGCATATAGCAGGCACTCCTAATAGCAGCTAATCTTACCAAGTAATGATAGAACTTCTACAAATCTGGGAAGAGGTCACATTAATCCTCCCCATCTCTTCTCTCCATCTGTCATTAAGCCATGAATAACATGTGTTGCTGATTAAAGTTGGAGAAGAAATGACATCTGATCTTTAACCCAGAGGGACAGGAATTAGTTTCTTGCAGTTTTGTTTGTTGTTTTTTTTTTTCCTCTGTCCTAAGTTGAATCTCCAACACAGTCAAAAGCATCAGAATAATGAAGGTATTAAAAAAAAAAAAAAAAAAAAAGAATATTTAGCCTAAAGGCCAGTTGCCCCAGAAAGGCACCCATTAGGGAAGGAATTTTTCAAATTTAATTTTGGGTGCATTTTGAAGGGCAGAAACAAACACTGGGAACACAATAAAAACTTTAGTCAAACATTAAATATCCATGACCCTTTAAAAAAGGTCTTTTTAAAAAAGTCATTCTAAAAATCATAGGTATTTTTGACCATTTTCTGCCATACTTTTCTGAAGGAAATTTGACAACAGGCTAAATACTGCTAAAACTGACTTTGGAAATTGCTTATTTTCATTTTATTAATCTTTCAGCCAAAGTTTTTTTTTTTTTAAACTGGCAGTTAAGTGGCGTGCCTAATATTTGTAGCTTGATGATGCCTCTGCCCTGTACAAGAGAAGGAAACTGCTACAGCGTGCTAAGATAGCAACCACTCAGTTTGTACCACTGGATCTCAATTTCACCTTCACCAAAAACCATCTCAGCCTTCTACTTCCCGCTGCCTTCCACAACTCTAAAGTTTTATGCTATGCTTTGCGAGTGATGAGGCTCCACTGAATGGCTTTATACAAGGAAGCAAGATGATCCAATTTGTGGTTTTAGAAAGTGAACTGTGATAGTGGGCTGCATCCTAACTGGATGCAAGGAGAATGGCAGGACACTGCCAGAGCTGAGCTGAAGAATGATGATAGAAATCAAAGCAGTATAGAAGGGAAAGAAGGGAAAGAAGAAAGAATAGGTACAAGAAATAGACTGTAGGCACAAACTGAATGAGAGATAAGAGAATGACTTCCAGGCTTGGGAAACTGGGAGAGGAGAGAGAGCAAGAAAAGAGCATGTGGGAAAGGACACATATGTTCCATTAACCAAGAAAAAAAAAACAGACAGGAAGAGTGGGTTGAGGGTGGGAGTTCTGGGAGGGGGGAAGTAAATTCCACCAGAGTCATGTTGAGCCTAATGTTATTATACAACATCTGGTTGGCAACCACCCCTAGAGGGAAGCAATGGCCAAAATGGTGCAGGACATCAGAGGAAAGAAAAAGCTGCCAAGTCACAGGTCCAAACCCTATAGAAGGAATTAAATTTCCTCCAGTCTTTTACTTCTCCTAAGTCCATAGTTACTAGGATCAAATCGGTGAGGTCTTATAAAATGGGGTAGACATTTCAAGAAAGGGATTCCTGGCATGTCTGTTCTCAGCCTTTATCACCCTTTCTATATCTTGGACCCAGAAACCAAACCCCTCAAGTTCAGGCCTCCTGCACTTACCAGTTGGATCTCAACAGCAGTCATAGGTCTGTGATTTAGCAGCTGAAGCTTCTCAGCTCTGTCAAAAAAAAAAGTACAGAGCATTTACAACTCTCAGACCCTTAAAGATCTTGAATCTTGACCAAGTTGATTAGAGAACACTTTGTCAGATAACAAGTGGGAGAACCATTTGGAATGTGGCCCTCAGTGTCTTCAAGTATAAAATGAGAGAATGAGAATATGAGAGCCCTGTGTCAGTGACTTGTACTCAAGGGAACAAATGCGTACTAGAATTCTAAAGGGTATAGAGGCATAGACTGTAAGAAATGTAGAAGAGGCATGGTTTTATTAAATTTCATTTGGAAAAGTGATGAAAATGTTTTCTTAATCTGAAATACAGAAACTAAAGATCAAATCACCTTGGTTTGGTTGAGAATTCCTTTTTGAAATTAAGATTACAGATTAATGAGATTTAACCTGTTATCTTAGTAAACAAGAACAAGGACTATACAAAGTTAATGCATTGTGTATAAAGTATAGTCATCTGCCCTCAAAAAGTTTATAATCCAGTGGAGAAAAGAAGACAAGCCAATTTTAACAAAAGGTCTAAGTAACAGTTGAAAACAATTATCATCTGTCACATGACAATATATAGCTTATTGTTAAAGGGGTGGTTGAAATGTGTGGGTTCTCAAAGATGACAGACTTAAAAGAAAAAAGAACGGCTTCAATTAACACCCTTATGCAAGGGACGATTTATATTTCTATCTCAATATGACCCGGGAGCACCAGATTCATTTTTCAATTCAATAAATATGTATTGTGTTTAAAAGTCATTCTGAAATAAAAAAGATGAATGCACCACAATTCCCACAGCCACGTATCTGGGGAAGCAGTGCAAGTCACCCAGTGTCTCTAAGCCTCAGTTTCATCATCTGTAAAACAGGAATGATAACATAACTTAATATCTCAGGAGGGGGTTAGAAGGGATAAAATCTTCCCATTTTATAGTGTCAGCAGCTACCATTTTATTGCTTATTTCCCATATGGCAGGCACATTTAATCCTCAGACTTAGATGAGACGGTAAATAATTTGTCCAATGTTACACAGCTAGTAAACGGCAGAGCTGGGCCTCTGCCATCAAATTTATGTTCTTAACCATCTGCTTATAGTATTCAGTGTTCATAATGATGATTTTCACAGAGTAATTTCTACAGAAATGGTAGTCGTTGTAGTTCAGTTCTACTCCTCCTATCTCCCAAACATTTATTCTAGACTCAAAGACAAAGACCTCATAGAGGAAAACATGTGTATACTGAGTCCTGATGGATTTTTAGGCAAGAAGGACAGAAGGAATGGAAAATTAGGACAGGAACAGCCCAAGTGAACATACAGAAAAACAAAAATTTACAGTTTTAGGAAATGGCTGCTAGAGAGGTTGTAAAAGCAATTTTGTAGACATCAAGTAACCAAGGAAAGGTGTGACATGCTCAGGATGATACCTGTAGCAATTCTAGAAGACCCTGAAAAATAGGCAGAGATCTATGATACTCCCAGGCAAGAGAAAACTAAACTGACCTTCCCTCTGAAAAGACTATGATCACCAGATATGACTGACACTTTACAAGTATCATTCCACAAGTGATTCTCTACTTTTGCCTAAGGGGATGCAAAAACAGAAGAAATGGTGTCTGTGCTTGGAGCCATGAAGGGTTTCAGAGGATCACAGTGTAGGAGGATACAAGTTAAAAGCTGACAAGTGGGGGCCTCCTTGGTGGCGCAAGGGATTAAACACAGCACTGTGAAGCTATTCACAGCCTCTGCAGCACAAATTCGATTCCTGGCCGGCAAGGGAGCTACCCACATGGCACAGCAGACCTCTCCTATCTCGGCCTGCTGCTCCCCTCAGCAGTGCATTTCAGTCAGTCTGCCTGTTCTGATCCCCACTCTGTCTCTGGTGAACCCTCTCACCCCCGCACCTCTGGCCTATACCCCAGTTCTTGTATGCATACATAAATAAATCTTAAAAAAAAAAAAGCTGACAAGTGGACTTAGTTCTCCATACACAGAATGAGAGGGGTAGCTGGCTCACTGTCACCACTGGAGGGAGTCTCAAACGCAGAGAATGACTGTATTTTTAATATATCTACCCCCCTCCTCACCATTTTTATGAGCCACTTCAATTCTTCTTGGTTAAAGGACAACAGCCAGTATGCCCAGAGGTCTCCACTTCCTCAATCTACCTTCACTCTTGTGAATAAAGAACTTTTTAAAAGATGAATATCTAGTCATCTCATTACCCTACTTGTAATGCTCCCACCGTCTCCATATGTTTGGTATGATTCTGATTTGCTTACAGCCTCTACAACCCAATGAAATTTGGACTTTGTCAATCTCTCTAGCTGGGTATGCCTTCACTTTTCCTAAGTATTCATCTCAACTAAAACTGTAAATACTACACAGGAAAATGTCAGACTACTTTCTGATTCCATACCTTAGAATATCATGTTCCTTCTGCTTAGAAAGCATCTGTCACATGACAATATATAGCCTATTGTTAAAGGGGTGGTTGAAATGTGTAGGTTCTCAAAGATGACAGAACTTAAAAGAAAAAAGAACAGCTGTATCAAGTCACCTTAAAACCCAGTGTCAGTTCCTATAGATGGAGGAATACACTTAAATTCTGACTCTGTGGTAGTCCCCACAACCATAGCACTTACACTGTATTCATCTTTGTATCCCCAACAACTGAGATAGAGCTAGCACTAAATAAATGTTCTCTGAAGGATAAATTAAAGGCTGTACTAGAGTAGCACTGACTCCCAGTGTAAGTTCAAGGGAGAAACAACTGTTGAACACTGGAAAGACATGGGGGTAGTATTCCATTCTCTGAAAATAGAAGGGCAACCACATTCCAGATACTAATTCACCTACTCTGAGTTTTGCTGGTAGCAAAGGGTCCCAAATACAGTGTCAAGCCCCAAGGGTCATCTGTGCATAGAAGAGTCACTACTTTTAGGGATCTGAAGTTATTCACAGACCTACCTAAGCTGGGTCTCTAAGCTAAGCTTTCCTCTCTTCTTGGCAGTTATAGTTGTAATTTTAGGGATGAGATCTCAGATTGAGAGCTGGAACTGCAAACCAGACTGCAGTTCTCAGGAACTAAATGCTTCAACAAGCAATAATTAAAATGATTAAAGAACCAAATGCTTTGGGAAATTAGTATTCTATAGAAAAAAATGACTTGGCACTTAGTATTAAAGTGACTTCAAGTTGATTGAATCTCAATGCTACTATTTTGCTGAATAAAGCCATGAAGTCAAACAAAACATGGTCCTACCACACCCTCAAGAACTCCAGTAGTGGAGGTCAGAAGCGCGGGAGGGTGACAGAATTCACCAGAGCCAGAGCAGAACAGAACAGGCAGACTGACGAAGAAATACACTGCTGAGGGGAGCAGTGGGTATGGCAGGAGAGGTCTGTCACGCCATGTGGGACCCTCGCCGGCGGCCGGGGATCAAACCGGCGCTGCAGAGGCTGTGGGCAGCTTCGCAGCCCAGCATTCAACCACTGCGCCACCAGGGGAGGCCCCAGTAGTGGAGGTATTTTGGCAAATTAATAAAGCCCCAGTGTGCACTACTAGAACTGAACTAGTTAAGGGCTATTATTTTGAATCTACTTTAACTGAGAAAATGGTGAAGAAAAACTATCACAGAAAAACTATCACCTATTAAAAAGCACTTTAGCAGTTCTTACTATAAATGGAATTGCTGTCTTAAACTGTACTGCCTAGCACATGGTCTAGGCCTTGACAAGGCTTCATAAGGGAATTCAGGCCTCAGTCACAGTGAAAGAAGCCTGCCAGCTCCCTCTACTGGTTATATGTAGAACAACGCAGTCTAAAGTAACTGACACAAACATTTAGTCATGACAAAAATCTCAGCAAACTCAACTTTCTAAACCTGGTAAGAAGCATCCATGAAAATCCTGAGCTAACATTACACTTAATAATAAATGGCTGAACCTTTCCCCTAAGATCAGGAACAAAGTAGGATATTTGCTTTTACCATTCTATCAACATCATACATCATGGTGTTCTTATTTCAACACATAGACCTAGCCAGTGCAAGAAGAAAGGAAAAGAAATAAAAGGCATAAAGGTTAAAAAGAAATTAAACTGTGTTCTCAAATACCATGACTGCCTACATATAAAAATCCTAAGGAGTATACTAAAAGGCAAGATTGTATAACATTAAGTTCAGTGAGACAAGTCAGCTGTTTCTTTCTACACTAGCAATGAACATCCAGATCAATAATAATTACAACAGTACCAAAAATTATGAAATACATGGCTATAAACCTAGAAAACTTGTTCAGAATCTGTAGTCTGAAAACTAAAGAACAGTAATGATTTATTCTAGGTGAGAATGAGCTGATTCAAAAATTTATGTAAAAAGGCAAAGGAACTAGAAAAGTCAAGACAATTTTGAAAAAGAACAAAGTTGAAGAACTCATACTATCTAACCTTAACACTTATAAAGATGCACTGATCAAGATAGTGTGGTACTAGCAGAAAGACAGACACAGAGACCAATGGAACAGAAACAGAAGTGAAGAAACAGAGATAGGATGGTCTTTGCAACAAATGGTACTAAAACAGTTTGAAATCTACACACAGCCAAAACCTCAACCCATAACTCACACCATACCCTCAAAATTAACTCAAAATGGAACATTTCTGGAAGAAAATGTAAGAGAAAAATCTTTGTGACCTTGTATATGGCAGAGTTTTTACATATAACATCAAAAGCAGATGTATGAGGAAAAAAATAAACTTGATTTCAACAAAATTAAAACCTGCTTTGAGAAAGACAGTACTGGGCCTCCCCAGTGGCGCAGCGGTTGAGCGCTGGGCTGCAAAGCTGCCTGCAGCCTTTGCAGCACCGGTTTGATCCCCGGCTGGCTGGCGAGGGTCCCATATGGCGCACAGACCTCTCCTGCCGCATCCGCTGCTCCCCTCAGCAGTGTATTTTGTCAGTCTGCCTGTTCTGCTCCCCGCTCTGGCTCTGATGAATTCTCTCACCCTCCCACGCTTCTGACTGTACCACAGTTCTTGTATAAATAAATATTAAAAAAAAAAAAAAAAAAAAACAGGGCCTCCCCGGTGGCGCAGCGGTTGCGCGCTGGGTTGCGAAGCTACCCGCAGCCTCTGCAGTGCCGGTTCGATCCCCGGCTGCTCCCCAGACACCGGAGGAGGGTCCCACATGGCATGCAGACCTCTCCTGCCACCCGCTGCTCCCCTCAGCAGTGTACTTCGGTCCTTCTGCCTGCTCTGCTCCTTGCTCTGGTGATTTCTCTCACCCTCCTGCGCTTCTGACTATACCCAGTGCTTGTATAAATAAATAAATAATCTTAAAAAAAAAAAAAAAACAGAAACATTACTATGCATAATATTTAAAAAAAAAAGAGAAAGACAGTACTAAGAGACTATAAAGATAAATCATTGAAGGAAGTAACTATAAATGACTACTGAATAAAGGGCTTATAGCCAACTATATAAAGACTCCTCAAAACTCTGTAAAAACAATAAAAAGGGCAAAATATCTGAACAGACACTTCATCAAAGAAGATAAGCACCCAAAACAAGCTCATATCATTCACAGTATCAAACAAATATAAATTAAAACCATAATGACACACCACTTCAAACCAATATGAACAACTAAAATAAAAAATACTAATAATACATGAACTGGCAAGGATATGGAGTAAATGGGGCTCTCTTACATCGCTGAGACTAATGCACAATGGTACAGTCACTTTAGAAAAGAGTTTTGACAGTTTCTTAGAGTCAAAAGGGTGCACACTGTTTGATTCCATTTAAAACACTTTCTGGAAAAAGCAAATCTATAGGAAAAGAAAACAGATGCAGTGCATGGCACTGGGCAATAGGAGAAGAGATTTAAGGAGACAGAATGAAGTAATGTCTGGGGTGATGGAACTGTTTTACAATACATATGAAATACTTATATATTAAGGATGTGTTAAATCATTTTAAAATATTTACGAGCCCAGTGTTCACTCTAAGATACCTGGAGATGAAAAATTCCCTTGGCTGGCTCTTGGGGAAGAGCAGCTATGTTCTTTTTCCCCAGAAGAAAAAGCTCCTTCTCACTATCCAGGCAAAGACATCTGAAGTGCCCACTGGGTCCACAACCTAAAAATAATTTATCAGCTTCCTCAGAAAAACTCAATGAAACTTTCGTTAAGTTGAAAGTATCCATTATTGGGTTACTCACCACTGTGTGCCCGAATCTGTGTAACTTACCTCAACCTCATTTCACTCATCTGTAAAACAGTGAGCTGTCTACTCACCTTTCCCTTCCCTCATATTACACAGAAACATTCCCACCGGAAATTAATCTATTCTCAGAGATAATCTCCTCCTAACCCATTTGATTTTGTATAATTAAAGTGATTCTCAACTACAATAAGAAGTCAGGTGCCCTCAACTACTTCAAACACCACAAGTACTAAAAAAGAATGCTTAGGAATAAACTTAAGCAAGATGGCGAAAGATTTATGTGCTGAAAACCATAAAATTTCGCTTCAAAGAGAGGGGAGGGGAGAAGTGCACTTAGTTTACTGATAGTTTATTAACTATGTACCTGAAATAACATTGTACTGTTCCTCCAAAAGAAAATTACTGATTATTCTGAATGAAATAGCTTTTGGGATTTATCGGCTGTGGAATTAATTCTAAAAAACTTGGGTTAGTTTTCTTCTCATTTAATTTCTTCTCATGTAATGTTAATGATGTCTTTAATTCCTACAAGCTTAACTTATTCAAGAAAGTCACCAAGAAAAATAATTGGGCACTAAAAGAGCAGATAGAATATTATCAAGCCATTTTTGCCTCATACAAACAAATGTCAAATGACTTCATTGATATTTGTGAAGCCCATTTTGCAACCAAGTTGATCTGAATGCTGGGAGGAGCTGATGGGAAGGGTTATGAAAATTAAAAAAAAAAAAAAAAAAACTAAGTTTTGTTCTTGCCTAGAAGGGTCCTTATGACTAGTCTCAGTTGTCTCACCTATAAGATCATGATTCTACTTTAAAAGTATTTTGTGTTGGGCCTCCCCTGGTGGAGCAGGTGGTTGAGCGCAGTGCTGTGAAACTGTCCGCAGCCCCTGCAGTGCAGGTTTGATCCCGGTCGCTGGCAAGAATCCCACATGGCACGCAGACCTCTCCTGTCTCGCCCACTGCTCCCCTCAGCAGTGTATTTTGTCAGTCTGCCTGTTCTGTTCCCCGCTCTGTCTCTGGTGAATCCTCTCACCCTCCCCCACATCTGGCCTGTACCTCGGTTCTTGTATGCATGAATAAATAAATCTTTAAAATAAATAAATAAAAGTGTTGTGTGTTAATTATAATTTCAAAATCCAACTAAATATTGTTGTTGAGGATGGCTTTTCATTATGTGTCACTCTTTTCCTACTAAGATAATTTTTACTTACTTGGTCAACTTGTGGCTTTTCATAGCTGTGAGAAATTCTCTGACAATCTCAGGACTCTGGTGCCTACAAGGTGTTTTTGATATATATTTTAATGTCTAAAAAAGAAGAAAAAAAGAAAAATCAAGCATAAAACAAAAAACCCTGAGTGAAAAAAAGGGGAAGCAGCGCTATGACTTAGTATTATAAAATTGTTTCAAAAAACTTTTATAAACCAAATGTTTTCAGAAGAGTCAATCTTCATATAATAGAAATTCCTCAAAATGAAGACTAGTGGCTAAATCAGGAAAAATAATTAATGAAATTTTAGAAGAAAACTTTTCTGATCTTAAGAGAAAAACTCAATCTGATAATTGTGTTATCATATTTCACACAATTTTTTAAAGACAGGAAACCCAAAGAATAAAATAAACAGCCACTAATCCATGTGGATATAAATGACTGAAGAAATAAATGGATAAGAAAGAACAACTCTTTTTCACAGATGAATTATAACTATTAAAAATAGAAGGAAAGAGGGAAATAAATTACCACCAGTCAATCATACCAAGGCAAGAATTACCATAGGAAAGACTCATCAATAAATGCCAAAATAGGTAAAAGCTGAAGGAGAAATAGGATATTTGTAGAAACTCAAAGTATTTCCCCCAAAACAGCTATTTATTATGCTTTTAACACATATTCTTTGCTATCTCCCCCCTTCAAGAAATGAAGCCTAATCCACTTGCATATGAGCAACATTTGGTTACTTCGTCCTAAAAAGAAATTAAAATGGAAAAACAATAATGTAACAATGGAGAACCAGACTGCCAGCACTTTAACAAGTGACCAAAGTTAATAACATCACTGACAACAAGACATTGCTATCAGGTACCTGTATCATGGGCATATCACTTCTCTGGTACTTCATTCCCAAAAGCTGTAAATTCAGTCTCATCATAAGAAAACATCAGACAACCAAAATCAAGGGACAGTCTACAAAATATCTGACCAATAATCTTCAGAAGTGTCAAGTCAATCAGGCATAGCTATGTAATGGAGTCTCAACAAAAACTCTGGACATTGAAGCGCAGCAGAGCTCCTCTGGTTGACACACAATTTTTTTTTTTTAATAAATTTGGATTTATTTCCACTTCCACTTTTTTTTTAGATTTATTTATTTATTTGTTTGTTTGTTTATTTATATAAGCACTGGGTACAGTCAGAAGCGCGGGAGGGTGAGAGAATTCACCAGAGCCAGAGCGGGGAGCAGAGCAGGCAGAAGTACTTAAGTACACTGCCGAGGGGAGCAGTGGGCGGAAGGAGAGGTCTGCGCGCCATGCGGGACACGCCTGTGGTGGCCGGGGAGCAGCCGGGAATCGAACCACCGCCGCAGAGGCCTCAGGCAGTTTCACAACCCAGCGCTCAACTGCTGCGCCACCGGGGAGGCCCTTGACACACAAATTTTGAGAGAAAAAGTATGTTCTCACTCCACGTAAAGACAATGGAAGCTCTGCATTTGGTATTTGTCCTGAACTCTGCCCTATCTGTTTCTTCCCTTGGTCAACTTTAATCTGTTTCTATTCCCTGTAATAAACCATTAACTGTGAATATAATAGCCCTCAGTGAGTTTTGTGAGTACGTGCAGTAATTTATTGAACCTGAGGGTGGTCTTGGGGATCCCTGACAACTAGTGTTAGAAGTGAGGGTGTTGTTTTGACTATTTCCTCTAAATCTGTAGTTGGCTAACCTCACAACTGGCAAAACACCGGACGACCAAACAACTTCAACTTTTATAAACAGTAAAACTGGGTTATAGCAAAACTATTAAATAAGAAGCAGTCTTGATTTGGTGGTCAGTCACTGGCAAAATAAACCAAATCCCCTCAATGGTAGTTTGGATAGAAACCTAAACTTACTTCATAGGTGATGGTATTCAAGTTCTGCTGCCCAGAACTATGTTTATTCTTTCCACTTTCTTTACGTTGCTCTTTCAGATCAGTTAATAACTGGAACACCTAAGGAAAGACATACACAAAATTTAATAAATAAATTTGAGGAATTTATCAATTCTCAAAGGATAAAAAGAATGGTACCTCTTCCCACAAATCCTCCCCCTAACCCTTGCATTAGAGCAAATATGAGTTCAAGAAACATTTTAAAAACACTCTTTGGTTTAAATCAAATAATGCAAACTCATTAGTTTACTTAAGAAATTTAAATGGGGCCTCCCCGGTGGCGCAGCGGTTGAGCGCCGGGTTGCGAAGCTGCCCGCGGCCTCTGCGGCACCGGTTCGATCCCCAGCTGCTCCCCGGCCACCGGAGGAGGGTCCCACATGGCGTGCAGACCTCTCCTGCCACCCGCTGCTCCCCTCAGCAGTGTACTTTGGTCCTTCTGCCTGCTCTGCTCCCCGCTCTGGCTCTGGTGAATTCTCTCACCCTCCCGCGCTACTGACTGTACCCAGTGCATGTATAAACAAATAAATAAATAAATAAATAAATAAAACATGCCTCTATTAAAAAAATAAATAAATAAATAAAAGAAATTTAAATGTTTCCTATTAACATACACCATATCACTGATCTCCTCTGATTTCAAAAATATATTTACTTAATCCTGAAAAAGAAAAATTATGAGCTAAGTGATGAAATATGGTTTACAAAAAAATGGGGGAAGGAAAAAAATGCTATAAAACTTTAGCACAGATAAGTGTGTCTAATAAGGTTAAGAAGGATATTTCTTTGCTGTTTTTGAGATCATAGACAAATGAGGGAAATTTAGGCTCATAATCCATTACCAGAAACAATGCAATCCTTCCCCTGCTTGTCATTCCTTTCAGAAATAGTAGCATTAAGATCCAATAAATGCAATGTTTCCCCCAATGGATAAAATACCCAAACACCCAACAAAGTCCATACTAGTTAAGGAGATTCCTAAAAGTCAATAGCCGGACCAACAACCTTCCTGTTACGAGCAGCAATTGCCAGCTGTATTAATTCTATATAAGACCCAACACACCTCTAAGCCTCCATGAGTTCAGACTGTGGCACATGAAAAACTGAGAGTGACTGTATGAATGGTTCTTTCTGCATCTGGCATTAACCATTCACATGGTTTTATTGTACCAAACAGGACCCAAGCAAAATAGAGGTAGTCAAAGATGATGTTATAGCTCCCTTCTCAACCGCTTTCTTTCCTCCGTTTCTTTAGTAACCCCACACCAAAGCCCCAAAATTCCAAATGTTTAGTTTCCACCAAATTATTCACAGTAGTCAACTAAGTTCTTGTTTTCAAAATGAAGGTGTTAATATCAATGAGACTGTTTGAGGATTAAATAATAACATATAAAATCACTTTATAGATAGAGTGGTAATGAGGAAAAGACATAGTAAGTATTGTAGTAGAAAACTTTTGTATACAAAAACAGTCCCAAAATAGATGTTTCCATCCCATGAAGACACCCCAAGTGAAGAGATAAAATCTTTGCCATCTTGGGAAGGCTGCCTACTGTAAAATAGTGTTCCCAACTTGCTTGAATTACTATGCGTAGAATATTCCAAGGTCTGCCACATGGACATCTGTCCTGTTTTAAAGTGGAAAATCCAGATGAATTCAGATATTTCTAACCAAAATTAATTCAATAATCTTCAGAAACAAAAGACAAACTATCAGGGAGGAAAATAGTCCACTTTAAAGTTATTTACCTCATAGTTACTGAGCAGTGCAGAATTGGCATCTTTCCTGCAAAAGAAAAGTAAATTATTATCAATCTGGGTTTGTACCCTTCATGGGAATTAAGCATCTGTAAAACAATTCTTCTGTCAAGATCCACCAAATTCAGGAATTCAGGGACAATCTAAAATTGAGAAATTTCCTAAATTCTACTAGTTTAGCAGACTGCACAATTTCATGTCCATCACCAGGTACGTGATTAAAATACTAACATTATTCCTAGTCTATGTAGGCAGAAATTAAGAGGAATCATCTGGGTGAAGTTAGTTACAGGAAGAACATGGGAGTAGATGGGTAGGATGGGGAATATGGGATTTTGGTGAACAGTGTGAGGGTGCCAGAATTACCTGAAGAAACAAGATGCTGTCCCAAGCATATCCTTTCCCTAGTAACATCTGCCTCCTACCAGTTACTGACATCTTGGGAGGTCAAGTACTACTGCTGAATCACCGGAAATGGGACCCTTAATACTAACATCACTGCTGGGAATTTCAGCAATTTCATGAATCCTCACAGAACTCCAAAGGTTTTCATCTTCTACATCAACTCAACAGGTAGAGTTCAATTGTTCAGCAGTAATCAAAAGTCTGCTAAACAAGTAAATTAAGGTAAAATGTCATCTTTCATATATGAATAAGCACAGTTAATGTAATTTAAGTTATAACTGGTCCAGGGCCTCCCCGGTGGCGCAGCGGTTGAGCGCTGGGTTGCGAGGCTGCCCACTGCCTCTGCGGCGCCGGTTCGATTCCCGGCTGCTCCCCGGCCACCGGAGGAGGGTCCCACATGGCGTGCAGACCTCTCCTGCCGCCCGCTGCTCCCCTCAGCAGTGTACTTCAGTCCTTCTGCTGCTCTGCTCCCCGCTCTGGCTCTGGTGAATTCTCTCACCCTCCCGCGCTTCTGACTGTACCCAGTGCATGTACAAACAAAACAAACGAACAAACAAATAAATAAATAAAAACATGCCTCTATAAAAAAAAAAAAAAATAAGTTATAACTGGTCCAATCTACAATATCACATCAGAAAGTACTGTTTTTAATGATCTAGAGGCAATATAGTGTGATAATTAAAAAGTTTTGAAATCAGATACATCATTAGGTTCATATTCTAGCTCTGCCCTTTATAAGGTAACTGAGTTTTAGTGAGTCAATTTCTCTAAGCTTCCTATCTAAAACAATAAAATGGATATATATTGTACCTATAAGTGTAGCCTGGATTCTAAATCCAGCTCTACCGTACATTACCTATGCAAATTGGGGCAAGATATTTTACTTTTCTATGCATAAGTTTCCTCATCTACAAAATGTCAGTTACAGTACCAACCTGGTAAGACTGTTTTCAGGATTAACTTGAAACATGTAAAGCATTTGGAACACAGTAAATGCTCAGTAAATGCCACCTATTATCCCCACTGCACGTGATACTATCATCACAAACTCTTCCTACCTCATAAAGCCATTATGGGAATGAAATGAGAGAACAAATTTTAAAGGTTTAACATAGCTCTTGGTACTCATTAAGATCTCCCTAAATGGAGAGTATCATTTTTAAAAAGGTATCACCTTACTTAATGCTCATTAAAACCCTGTGATGTAGAAACTATTATGATTCTTTTTTTTTTTTTTTAAAGATTTATTTATTTATTTATGCAACCACTGGGTATAGTCAGAAGTGCGGGAGGGTGAGAGAATTCACCAGAGCCAGAGGGGAGAGCAAAGCAGGCAGACTGAGGAAATACACTGCTGAGGGGAGCAGCAGGCGCGGCGGGAGAGGTCTGCATGCCATGTGGGACCCTCACCAGCGGCTGGGGATCGAACTGGCGCTGCAGAGGCTGCAGGCAGCTTCTCAGCCCAGCGCTCAACCGCTGCGAAACCAGGGGAGGCCCTATGATTCTTTCTTTATAAACAAAACTGAAACTCTGAGGTTCAAAAACTTATTAGGGTCACACAGTAAAAAGCCTAACTGAAGTGGAAGATACCTACGGAACTAGAAAAAGAATGGATGGGATAAATGGAAAGAGGCAATGCAAAGTTCTAAAAATTCAGGAAACAGGTTTTACTTGGACATAGTATGCAAGGAAAAAAAAAAAGACTACTTTATTTCTTAACCAGGAGTGGGGCTATCTGATGAAAATGGTACAAAATTTAAAAGAAAAAGGGGGGGGGGGTGTAAAACAGATGGGTGGTTTTCAGTCAATAGATAAAGCAAAACTAGTAAGTGGTTAACACAAGAACCAGACCTAGGCCTTAGGTCATCAGCACAGTGATGTCAGCACTATAATCGAACCATCATGTGAAGCTTACCAAATACTATCAGACATTCAACAAATAGCTGGAATTTCACAAAAGTGCCGCCTGGACCAAATGACCACAGCTCACAAAGAATATCATGTTTAACAGGGATCTAGGGCCTCCCCTGGTGGCGCAGCAGTTGAGCACTGGGCTGCGAAGCTGCCTGCAGCCTCTGCAGCGCGGTTTGATCCCCGGCAGGGTCCCACATGGCGCGCAGACCTCTCCTGCCTTCAGCAGTGTATTTCTTCGTCAGTCTGCCTGTTCTGTTCCCCGCTCTGGTTCTGGTGAATTCTCTCACTCTCCCGCGCTTCTGACTGTATCCAGTGCTTGTATAAATAAATAAATAAATCTTTAAAAAAAAGGAATCTAACACAGGAAGAGCAATGTATAATTAGTGTATGTCATATGGTTCATTTAAAATTGAAAATGGGGCCTCCCTGGTGGCGCAAGGGGTTAAGACGCAACCTATGAAGCTGTCCCGCAGCCTCTGCAGCATGAATTCGATTCCTGGCCAGGAAGCTGACCCTCATGGCACAGCAGAGCTCTCCTGTCTGGCTCCTGCTCCCCTCAGCAGTGTATTTCTTTTCTTTTTTTTCTAATTAATTTTTTAAATTTTTTACATTTTTCATTTTTAAACAATATTTGCTTTCCCCCACCCCCTCAGGTGTAGTCCCCATAGAGTTTCCTTCACCAATGCACCTGTGCACCATCACCTCAGTCCCCTGTGCACCTCCCTCCCTCCCTCTGATCCCTCTCCCTCCTCCTCCCCTTCAGCAATATATTTCAGTCCATCTGCCTGTCCTGTTTCCTGCTCTGTCTCTGGTGAATTCTCTCACCCCACATATCTCTGGCCTATACCCTAGTTCTTGTATGCATAAATAAATCTTTAAAAATAAATAAATAAAATTGAAAATGACATATCAAATCACATATCCTTTTTGCCTACTTAATCAGGAAGTCGGCCCACAAGCTTCCTTCTGTCTTTGCTTAAAATTGAGTTATCATTCTACAGAACACACAGTAACCAAGAACTGGCTAGGGAAAAAATATAAATATTATTTTTCCTCCAGGGCAACAGATCCATTCCAGGTGCCACTGTTACAATTTAATTTTCAAATCATGGTCTCTCCTCTATCACGCAGAATAGTCCATGCTCTGGGAAATTTGCCCATGGCTCTGCCAAGTTATTGCCACACTGTCCAAGTCAATATTGTTATTGCAAGAATCCAAAGTACATTATCTGCCTTTCCTCAAACTAATATTCAAAAGAGGGAAGCTCTCTTTCATGTGTATTTTAATGAACCTGTGTTTCGGGACCAGAATAACAATGGATGTTTACACAGGTACGGAATCTTCCAGATTCTGGTTGGCAGAAGCAATTTATTCACTGATTCATTTATTAAGAAGATAATTTTGTTTACCCAGCTCAAAACTCATAGAGTAAATGCCAATATATGATAGGCCTTCTTTTAGTCAATAAAATGTCAGTAAGTATAGTATCGACATATTATGAAGTCCTAAATGAAATGTGTGTATTGGGGATTATTTTAAGGCAGTTTTTATCCTCAAGTTATGTAACCATCACTAATTGGCAGGTTGTTGGGAACAAGATATGACAGATTTGATAAACAACAGCTTAATTAGTTATCCTATTTAACAGCATCAATAAGGAGGATGTAATGCACTGAGAAAGACACATCCTTTATAGCAATCCTGAGCAAAAAAAAAGTTTGGTTCTAGTTATGAGGGTATAATTAGATAAAGTCAAACTGAGGAACATACTTCACAACAACTGGCCTAGATAGTCTTCAGAGATCAATGTAATTTGTCACAATGACAATGTCACAAAAAGAAGCTAACAAACTGTTCTTTTTTTTTTTTAAAGATTTATTTATTTATTTATACAAGTACCGGGGTACAGGCCAGATGAACGGAAAGGTGAGAGGATTCACCAGAGGAAGAGTGGGGAACAGAACAGGCAGACTGACGAAATTCACTGCTGAGGGGAGCAGCAGGCAACAGAAGAGGTCTGCCACGCCATGTGGGTTGCTCTTTGGCCAGCCAGGATCGAACCAGTGCTGCAGAGGCTGCGGACAGCTTCACAGCACTGCGCTCAACAGCCTGCACCACCAGGGGAGGCCCAACAAACTGTTCTTAAAGATAAAAGAAGCATGCCTACAGCAGTATGTGATTCTTGGCTAGATCTGGAATCAGTTTTTAAAAATCAGCTAAAATGGGGCCTCCCTGGTGGCACAAAAGGTTAAGTCTCAGCACTATGAAGCAATCTGCAGCCACAGCAGCAGGAGTTCCATTCCTTGTCAAGGACCTAACCCACATGGTGCAGCAGACCTCTCCGGTCTCACTCACTGCTCCTCTCAGCAGTGTATTTCAGTAGATCTGCCTGTTCTGCTCCCCACTCTGTCTCTGATGAATCTTCTCACTCACTCCCCCCACCTCTGGCCTATACCCCAGCTCTTCTATGCATAAATAAATAAATCTTTAAAAAAATTAGCTAAAGTGACATTGGGGTAATTAGAGAAATTTGAATATAGACTGCATTTTAACCACAGTGGTTATACCAATTCAAAACGACCTGGGTGTGATAGTGGTATTATATAGGATAAAAAGGTATCTGTGCTCTTTTTGCAACTGTTTCATGTGTTTGAAATTTTTCAAATCTAAAATGCTGAGAAAAATGGAAATGTGAAACCAAAGATTGT